GATACAACCGAGTCTGGGAGTGCGTTACAGGGTTGGAAAACCCGAAGAAAAAAGTAATCCCGTCGACACTCTAGACGGCTATATTGTTCCTTCAATTTTAAGCAGTTACCCCTGAGCTGCGCATTGTGGCTAAGTTTCAGCAAATGGCGGCATACGTGGTTTCGGTCACTCAGTATCTGATACCCTAATATGAGATCACCGCGCAGTCTTCGATAGCGCCCGCTGAAAATTCCCAGCAACTTCAGCCTTCGGTGGTAAGAGTGATAGCGCAGGCCCTTTACATTCTTTGTTGCTCTCCGTTGTGGTGCCTCTATCGCTTCTAGGTCGCGCTTCAACCAAGGTTGCCAAGCTTGGTGGCGTATTCAACATGCGGGCTCACGTAGGAATTGTTCATCATTGGGAAGATTGATGGGTCAAATCTCCCGAATGCTCGTCGCCGCATGCCGACATGCTGGTTGCCTCTTTTCGCAGCTACCTCAGCCTGTTTAGAACAGTTGAGGTCGAGGAGGGAGTTGCATTGTGTCTACTTATGCTGTGCGTGCGCAAACATTAACCTGCATTTGGTGTCGGGTAAGAGAATATACAGTTCCGGTGAGTTCAAAACTACCAGATCTACAGCCTGTTGCTATTTACGCAATTGTGTACCAAAATGATCCAACCTTGTACAGACATCCATTTGGACCTTTGGTGCTTTCCTAACGTCGAGAGCGAATCTGTACTAGGAACCCGTATCGGAATTGTCAGATTGGTTACCTTCTTGGGATTAACTAAACAACGCTAAGTAAAAAGAGGAAGCTATCTTCATGTATAAAGGTAGAGATGTTAGGATTTTTACCATGTGACAAACGATCAATTGCCGTCCCCCGTAGCTCAGTGGTCTTAACCACGGACTGGCAACAGTCGTGTTGCGGGTTCGAGCCCTACCAAGGGTCCGATGGAATGCGCACTGCTGATGATTCCCGAAAGGATGAAACGTGCGTACAGTGCATTTCCGGGCGTGTGGCGGCTGTCCGAATGAGTCTAGATGTGACGGAGTTCTACCTACAACATTCAACTCCCCCTAATGCTCTTCTGTAGACGAGCAATTCAAGAATAGAGAAAATCCATGAATCCAAGATTTTGAAACCAACAAAATTCTAGCCGTGGTCATAATAATTCTTACACCATTCACGGTGGTTTTTCCCCCTTATCTACTTAAAATGAATAGGATCAATCAACTATAAAAAATTGTGTCATGCCGGTGACGATTACAAACCGTTAGATGCGACAGTTTGAAGCACGTGTAAATTATGCACATTACACGTTATTACTTCTAACGCGTTGTTCTTTAACCTAGATTCAAAGGCGTTGGTAATCGACATAGATGATTTCCAATGAGGTTCAACCACAGAGGTATCTGTTCTGAGATCACAGTTAACTTCCCCCCCCCCCGTTTGACTGAGTTCATCCCACCTTTTTGCCACTCTCTAGTTAATGGTAACAAACGTAGGCCTCAAACCGGGCTTGGAAACCAGAAGAGAATTGCGTTGACAAGTACCTCTCATATAAATCCACGCCAAGTATGGTGTACATCTGAGATTGTGGACACTGGATGCGTCTCAATACAACCAGCTATGCAGGGGACAGACCAAATAATAGATGGTTTTATACGGGTAAAAAGCTAATACTTAACAGGTTCCGTAGGATGGTTTTGATGAAAATTCAAGAGCTAAAATATTCTTAGCGAATCAGGGTTTGCACAGTGAACTCACAGAAGTATACGTAGTATAGACTCTAAATCCAAGGTAAATCCATGAGAAATGACAGCAAATTGGATGTTGGCAAAAATTGTGTCTTCTTCTGGTGTACAGATACGGGAGCTGAGAAACGTGGGACGAAATCTGGAATTTGACCGCCAGTGAAATCTCTCACAGACACTTGTGTTTATCCATGGGTAATAGGTAATGTAAATTGGTGCAGCGAAATAAGTGCACGGTCAAGCCTGGATTTGAACTCTGCCAGCGTCGGAGCACATCTGACAGATTCCGGTAGGGTATTCCACGTGATCACACTGAAATGTTGGAGTATATTGTAGACGCAATGTTTTCGCCGCCTCCCTCCGTGTCCTTGTGGGTACGCCCGCTGTTTGAAGAGGAGGAATTCCCCGTTTCACTTTAGTTAGACTTTTGAAGCTTTCATACAGAAATTTATGGTTGGAGGTCATACACACTGCCAACTTCTGCTGGTACGCCATTCTATCATCGCAAACAACCTGCCTACAGTAGTTACGTTTGGTTGTATAGATAATCCAGTTCCCAATGGTCGGGAAGAGTTTGTAGATATTCCAGGCTGTTTCGCACCGCAATACACTTGCGTGTCTGGCTTCGCAGAAACAAGACCACGTTTCTCCTCTGCAAGGTTTTAATCGCTGATGATTCGGCATCCAGCGTGTTAAACTGACTGGGGAGATGCTCTTATGCTTCAGCCGGTGCCTCATCTGGCAGAAGGGTCCACTTAGTAGTCTCGCTGAGTCGGTCTAATATGTCGTAGATCATAAACGTCCTCATCGCGCTGGCAATTTCCACGCGATATTCTGCATAACATATGTATTCGTAGATTAAGACTGCAAATCGCTGCGATCCATATTGTCATGGACGTTTACCCTCAACCATGAATTCTTCGTTGCAGAATATCCAATCCAATATAGACGGCTTATTTGTTTTTTTGATTCTGGTTTGAGCATTGATAGGGAGACAATGGGTCGTAGGTCGAACTTGAACTGTTATGCAGAAACAGCTTGGGATTTCAGAGCGTGGATGTTGAAATTGCCATTAATAAGGATGTGGCTGTACTTCTTCTTTATCTCCTACATTAATGCGGATGCTAGATAGAAGTCCATCTTAGGCGTGGAGGAAGGAGGGCAGTAGACGACCGTCACGAATTAAGCAGCGTCACCTATTAAGAGTAGATTGCACCAAAGCGACTCCTGTGACGGGCTGACCGGATCCTCTATGAGCCACGTTGGAGACCACCGAAGAAGTGCAGAGCCACTCTTGAAACTTTGCTGTGTCGGTTGTGCCGAACAACGGAAATGCCTGGCAGCGCGACCTCGATGTCACTTATGTCGGGGAGTAAGTATGTCTCCGGATGAGCAATGAGGTCACAGAACTTTGATCCATGAGGCAGCCGGAATTCGTAATGTTTACTCAGTAGGACTTGAGCAATAGTACACATAAAGTAAACTTTCTTGTATGTCATATGCTCTTGACTATGATCATTTGACGAATGTGGATTTATGCTGACCGATGAGAGGTTGTCACCTAGTCGATTTTTGGTTGATTTGCCAAATCTCCGTATAAATGCAATCTGTTTTTAGTCTCACCCACACATGTAATATCCAGTCCATCGATACCTTACTCCATCGTTACTGGTCTCAGCGCACAGTTTTCGGAATCGCTATTACGGTGGTATCATTTCCGCGAGGATAGCTAGTGGCTGTGTTTCTCTAACAGCTATCTTTTGTTGTAGTCCCGAAAGAAGTGTTTTTGCGCAGTATTTGTCAGCTGCGTATTACGTTCACCGCCATCTGTTTTGACTGTACCATTACCTTTAGTATCCTCGGACCACTGCCTTATTAGTGTTCCTACACGGATAACCGTGTAATCGTTTGAAGGATAACGCCGCTAGTACAAAGAACTTCAGGGAATTACCGCCAATCTAGACCTTGAGCATGGGATTCTGTGTTATATGTTAACACTAGTATGCAGGTAACTGATGTAACCGTCATGCACTTCGGACAGAAACATAGTGAAGCCGGCGCATTGTATTACGTTATGTCGGTTCCAAAACGTTGACGTATTTTGAATGGTACCGGTCTTGGCTTTTTATGCAAGTCAGTTCTCCTTTTACATCCTAGGCACAATTTTGCTTAGCGCAAAATACTTCGTTTCGGGTTATCGGTATGGTGTTCATGATGGCTGGGTATCATAGAACAACTCCAAGATGGCTGACACAGATGGCAGTTGGGCCAGTCAATCAACCCTCCGAGTTTAGCCAGAGGACGTGCACAATTTGCACTGTCTGAAACATACACCAAAAGAAGACCATTAGTGCAAACCCACACAGAAAAATCTCGTGAAACAGCGTAATCCCGAAGAAAAAGTGGAGTCCAGGGCGTTTATCCAAAAATCCGTGGCATCTGTGGGTACATACAACAACAAAGCTTGTTCACATTTAATATTAAACTACTCAGTGGTCATTATTTTAGGTGATAAAACTGTCTAGATTGACACGTGAATATTACAGTAAAACTGCTGTACTGGGTGAAGTTAAGTGTACTTGCAAATAGAAATTGTGTTGCCCGCCCGATAACACTGCACTCCTATGGCGCGTTTCGATGGTATTACATCTTATCAGATAGAGTTAGTAGGCATCTTGTTTTTGAACTGAGAACCATTGACAACAGGGTTAAATGTTATGAGTACCTAAAGTGTTGTCCGATTCACCCAGAAGCAGATTTACCTCTGCGTTTGCATCCACTTACGTTGTAGTCAGCGGCTTTCCGTAAAGTAAAACAAAAGTGCTAACGAACAGCGGGTGGTCGCAGTTAACGCATTTACAATTCGCCCATTGTCCGAGTTCGAAAACGACTAATATTCGGCTGATGCACACTGCGTAGACAACGGGAACCAAGTGTTCGTCAGTTGGTCGTCTACTACTCCAACATACCATCGGTTTTACCTGTTTGTTTCCTATTTTACCATACCTCGTGGTAAGATACGGAGGGGGTACATGGACATTTTCTTGAAAGTTAATTTTTTTAAACATGGTGTGCAGTTTCCTCTTCCCAGCCCAAAGTTCCGTGGATCCCAGTTGCAGTCAATGTAAGCTACTTGTGATCCAGTGGACGTTGTGGTTTGGCCTTGAAGGTGACCAATTATAAAACAGATCAATGTGATCTGTTACAGCCCACACCTTTTCATGTATATTCACCAATGACTGAAGTCGACAGTCACGTTGCTACCGCAGTGCAGTGCGCGGATGCGCCTATGACTACGTCTGCACGACATACTACTGCACGGGTGGCTTTGGTAGCTTGAAAGCGGTTGTCGCCACTGCACAGCCCAGGACTTCGGCAGTCATTTCAAGTATCAGTTCTATGGGTGTACGTTCAATACATGAGTAGGTGGCGTTTTAAATTTACAATTCTGACCCCTTGGACTTTGCTTCCGGACAATTTGCCGGAGCACGCATGTAAAGACGAAGCGGCTGATGACTTTGCCGACCTACTATGTGTTCGAACCCGATTTGAATTACGCAAATTTTCCTTCTGGCCAAGAGCGAGATCGGAAGCGTTTCTGTGCTCATCTTTCGACGCTTTCGAGGAACGATTTTTAAAACACTCGGAATACGCCGTCATTGTGCTCTCTGGATCTCATTCATCATGTCTGGATGCCATTTACCCTAGACTTTTGGTTTTCTTTACCATGCGACGTTCTTGGACGGATCGCTTCTTGCTCATCTTCTTGGGTGAACCACGAAATCCGCCTCATTTCGATACGAAGCTACTCACACACGCTCCGATTGTGTTCACCGGGAAACCGGAAGAAAACTGGTCCCAGGACAACGAAAGTTGGGAAAAGTTGCTTGGAGTGTTGCAGAGTGAGCTCGTAGTAAATTTCGTTTAACTAAACCTGCATGCTTTAACGGACAAGTGATCCGTACTTTTGCCGCTTCTCCTTGGACTGACGCGTGTGATGGAATTGGTCAGTCAGGAATGTCTTTGGAGTGTCGTGAGCCACGTACACGTTTTGAGAATAACTCACGGAATGGAAGGTAGAAAACGTGTTTCTTCTCTCTGATTAGTGACCAAACTAGGCTTAGTACACCAGCTAGCAATTGCGTCAGGCGGAACTAGCTCCTGCAAATAAAGGACTGTTAGGATGATACCGTGGTTTATCTCTCAGAATCACCCCTTTCTGCGAATATCAAAAATGAGTTAATATTACACTTCTTTTATAACCCTACTAGGCACGGTAGGACTAACAATTCCAACGTTTTCCGATAATAAGAAACTAGGAATTGACACTTGCTAGCGTTCAGATACCATGGGACTGCACCTCACGGCAAGAGAGTGATCCTGGTGACATTCACATAGCCTAACCGCTGCAATGATTAACACAGGCAGACGGATCACCACAAAGCTCGGATTGTTCACTTGATTGCAACAGGCGATAGATAAGTGCACACCTGAGTTGCAGAGATATCAGTGAGTAGTCTTCCGAGGACAAGGACAGAACAGACAGTTTTGTGCACTACAGAAATTCACGTTAACTCTGTTCTCACATGGAGTAAAATGTACTGTCAAAAACCTCATGTAAAGACGGTTTCGCGATTCGAATCCAGAACGTACACAGCATAAACTTGCCTAACCGGGACAAAGTGCCATAGAATGTAACATTTTGGGCCTTTCTTTAATAGGATGGGACAAAGGTTAAGCAAACACCAGAAACCTCACGTTTTTTTAAATTGTTTCCGCCATTGCCGCTCTGAATGCGAATAAGATCCGTTGCCATTTCTCTGTCGTTGCGGGCAGTGGGAATTTAGTCCCATGATATCATATTTGCACTGCTTCGAACATCATTGCGTTTGCAGTCCTTTTTGACATAGCGAACACGTTTGGTCTCAGTAATGGCACCGGAAACTGCCTGCATTTCGGTTGCTGACTAACTTGCCTTCCTTTTATGAGTGATTTCATGCCCACAACAAACAACCTTTGTACGGAATATCGCTAAACGCAGCCAACGGTGTTTGAAAGTATGGAACACAAACGTTTTTACGCTTCTGGTTGGATTCTTGGTCCCTGTGTAATTGTTTACGATGCACAGTAAAGTGAGTTGACCTGGCCCTCTTTCCAAGGGTCAGATTCTTGCACTGTACGCCTGGTTTAACTCTGAGACTAAGGGATGAAGCTGTACCAGGAAGAATGCACTGTTAGAGATTCCATTTCTATGCTGTTTAGCGAAACGCCCGGAGTTGGATATCATGAATAAGGTCGGGAGGAAATCTTTTCTGGAAATTCACTGACCTGGCAATGATTGGGCCGGATAATTCTGCATAGGTTCAGAACCTTCTACGGTCATGTGACAAATTTAACTACTTGGAATTTCCCTGAACACTGGCCGACTTAGGTGCTTCAGAAATCAAAACTTTCAAGCCATGCTTAGCTATAGTTTTAGTGGTTACAGCGAGATAGTAGCGTTGCTTTCACCATATTTTACGTTAGTATACTTCTATCTGACTATGGTAATCGTCTGTAAGTGTAAGTTTTTTCAAACACATGAACTTATTACGCGGCAACTAACTCCGTGTCTTGCACTTGAATGACTGAAATGTGGAGTAACTCTGACGTTCCCAGAATGTTTCAGGTATAAATATGGGAGATATAACCAACAACTACGCTCAGCCTGGTATAGGAAACTCACAAAAATTGCTTTTGAACCACTTGTTAAAGAGATTTGAAGCCAAGACAGCGCAAACAAATATTGAAGAATATTCTTTATATGATCGTGACAGTCCAAGCATCCACATTATCGTGGTCTTGTGTGGTCCGTACATGGATTGAAACTTGTAGTCCATTTTTCTACTGGATAGTAACACAGTTGTACTAAAACGTTATTCAGATTCTGATAGACAACATAGCTGGCACTTTAGAGCCTATCTTTATTGCGTTGGTAATATATTTTGGGTGAATTGTGGATATTTTTTATTTATCGCGGATTCGTCGATAACTAATTTAATTCATGTGCTAATTTATCGAAGAGTTATGTCGGCATAGCCGTATTCGTTAATTGAGATGTGTGTTTGATAATGTCATTTCAAGTGATTGGCTATTGTTTGACATCCCCGGTGTGGCTGCGCTTGATGTGCATGTTGACAAGGTGCCTACCTGTTTATTTCCCACTAGCTCGTCTATACTGGCTCTAGGATACAGTTGGTCGTTGCTGGAGTGGTCGATGTGCCCGGTTCTTGTGCTCGTTCTAGACTCGAAGAGTGGTTCCATGCACTCAGTGCGGAGCGGACTACGGTCCAGCCACCGTCTTGTGTGCGCTTGATTCCCCAAATACAGCGTGCTTGTGTTTGCCTGTGGAGGAGTGTGGGCAGGCTCCGTTAATGAAAGCTGAATCCCATCCATATGCCTCCGCGTCTTATTCCTTCGGGTTTACACTGGATATGGAGTGTGTGGATGGAGCTGTGGGCGGTGCAGCGCAAGCCACCCATGGTCCCTATGTAGGCGCAGGCGTCCTGTGGCTTGCCACAGTGAGAGGCGAATCCGAAACCGGATGTTGCCAACCATCTGCACCTGTACCAGTTGCCACCCAGTGGTTGTTAAGTGCTGCAGCTCCAATTTGGTGACGCTGTGATTCCCGCTGACTAAAGTCACCACTTGCCTGATTAGTAGTGAGTGCCTGATTAATTGATTCTCCCCAAGCAACTAATGGTTCACCGTACGTGGATATAGAATGAAATTCCTCCATCTTTTTACGTGGTATTCATAGCTACGTCAAATTTTCCAGCCTGCACTAGCTATGAGACTGTCTGGTGCGACAAACAACACTTCCGGTCTCTAGTGCTGAACAAGTGTGGTCTGGAGTTTGCTTTGTAGGAAAGGCGTGCCTATGTAGACAACACTGTTTGGGCTGCCGCAACGAGCTAAATGCCGGACTGCACATGGCTCCAAATCAGGTCAACTCACTTCACTACTATGTCGCCCTTGTTGCTTGTCGACACCGCGCAGTCAAAGAAGATAGTTGACCCGGATGAAGTCTGGCCAATATTCAGCAAGCTCGATGGTCATCGTTCCTCGTCCATTTCTTGTCTTCATAAAGAAATTCTGGCAGTTCTGTTTGACTAATTGTTTCATTAAATTCAAACGTTTCTCGTTAGAATTCTGAATTGTCTCTGAACGACATTCATCAGCAAGTGCACAGGTCGATGGTTCTCTGTTGGATTCTTTGACACCTATGATGTATAGTTGGTTCGCGACGCGCCATCTCACTCTGGGTCGCTAGCTAACTTGTGGGACACCTTCCTTTCTATAGCCAAACAACCCACTGGCTTCGAATAAAGACTAGCACCGGTGAGTACGCATTACTGCCGGAGTTAAAAATCGGTAACTCAGAGGCAGACAGCATAAGGATTCCAGAGTGCAAACGCTTACAAACCTTTGTAAGTAGTATGGGATTTATAGGGTGTTTTGTGAAGATGCGTCGCAGTTAGATTCAGGCAGATAGCCACCACACATCCATCAAAACGCTAGAAGACTCAGTGGCATAAGTCGTTGGCTCGCAAGAGTAAGGTCGTGGGTTCGAATCCAGCAGGATTCGGAGGGTGCGCGCTACTGACTAGTACCGATAAGCTGAAACGGCCGTTTACCCTTTTCCTGTATGTGTGGTGGCTGTCTGCCTAAATCTAACTGCAACGAATCTTCACAAAATACTTCGAAACTATTAACGGATACCAGTGTTTCAAGTGATCGAAAGCTAATATTGCTATACCTGACACGCACGATTCCAGTGATCAAAAGGACTTAGACCCAAGTATAGGGCTTCGGTATTGCTCACTTTCATCCATGCACCCCACGATCGACGGTTTCGTCCTGGTTTATACGTCACAGTTAGGGATAGCCTGAAATGGGGTTGAACTCGGCACATAGGGGTTAGTGGCTATCGCCATGATCACTAGACCATTGAGCACCGCGAATACAATATGACTTAGGCTTCGACCCACTTCACCGTTACTCGCAGTCCATGTTGCGACTCTGCCTTGCAGCCCATGCAAGCCATACGAATGCTTCAAAGAAGTTGACAACGTGTCGTTATTTCTTAAAGCAAGCGTTGCTCGCAGCCTGGCAACTTCGGGGCAGCCGCTTCAACTGTCAGTCTGCACTATCCGGGATTGAAGTGAAGCGATCGAACTGACTGGAAGACACTCCGATGCAAATGGCTGTTTAGGTTTGGATTGAGCATCTTAATCCACTGGCCCCACACTTGTATCAAATGAAACCGCCGTGAAGTTAAAGTACTTGCAAAGCTTCACTCTTTTTAGGCCATGAAACAGTGCTTATATACTCTGCTATAGGGGCTGTTGTCAAGCCCTATCAACTAAATCCAGCTGGGTTGGTTGACCTCATCAAAATATTTTCACACCTTCGAAGGTATGAGATCTGAAACGTGTGATATGCTTGGCAGAAGCAGGGGTACCGAATTATCTTTAACTGCTCCAAGTGCAATGACACCGCACCAAATGTTAATCTTTGGTGTAACAATGTCAATCATCATAAATCCTCTGAAGCTCTCCAGCTTCATCTTTGTGACGAATAGCATAGCAGATGGGAAGGTGTGACCGTGCACACTGCAGCATGACTGCATAGTTTACAAGCCTATTGTGCCAGATCGGACGAGTGGAGGCGCAATATGTTTGTGCGACGTCCATCTTTCCAGGTAATGGGGAGCACAACCGTCCTCCGTTTTTGCCCAACATCCGCCTTTTAATTAGGGTGGATTTGCGTTGGACTTTTCGATTGTGTGCTTTACTGTGAGTCGGTGCAGTATAGTGTGACAAAACGGTATTAGTTTCGCTGTAACTGAGACATACATTTT